GCCCTCCCCAACCTCTTTTCCTGGTTCTGGGATTCTGAGCCTGCGTTCCTTTGTGTGGCTGATTTGTGGGGAATGAGTTCTATAAAGAGCCTCGATGGTGTTTGTAAGGGCCTGCGTGTTATCTGTTAAAGCGGAGGATTTCCCTTTCAGGAGCAAGTGAAAATGTACTTAAACATTTCCGCCCTTGAAGAGAGCAGCTTCCTATTGTAGATTGGGAGCTGAATGAATCTTGAGAGGATAGCAACTTGGTTCAAAGTGTGAGCTGGCGGACTTGGCCAAGTTCCTTAAACCTTAGTCTCTTCATCTTTTGAATGTGTATCATATCCACCCCACTGAGTTGTTTCAGGGATTAAGTAAACTGTTATATGCAGGTTGCCTACCATGGTAGCTAGCAGAATTGTAAGTACTCATTGGCTGTTACCTAATAAGTATGAAGTGATACTTTTTTTAAGACTTAGGAACGTATAGGATTCTTTTAACTAAGGAACAGCAAAAATATTGAATAAAATTGGGCAGATAAAAATGCAGTCATATTCCTTTCTGTTCCATTTCAGATGTACTGGAGAAGAATACTTGGAAAAACAGGGCATCAATCTCTCACCTTGGGGCATGTGGCAGAATCACGTAGCCTTGGCATGCATGATCGTTATCTTCCTTGCAATTGCCTACCTAAAATTGCTATTTCTTAAAAAATTTACTTAAATTTATTTTGAATGTACATGTTGTATCTATACATTAAAAAGAGCATCTTGACTTATGTATTCAATGAATTTGTTTGGTGTCTTTTCATTTGCCATCGTATTATGTTCAGCCAAAATTGTTTCCAAAAGAAAGCATTATAGAAATCACAGTGAGCTGAATTGTACACGAAATAACCCGTCATTAACTAGTGGTACTAGAGGCCTGGTGCACAAATTTGTGCACGTTGTGGGAAGGGGGGGAGTGGGAGGTTGGCTGGCAGCTCTGAGGAGGGAACCAGCCCTTGGCCCCCCTGGGAAAGGGGCCATGTCTGCTGCTACCCAGGCCTGGTTCTCTGTCCTAGCCCAGGGCCCAGATAGGGTTGGGAGAGGAGGCAAAGGTCACCAGGCCGGATACAGAAGGAATGATGCCGGATGCTACTGCCGCCCTTCCACCACATGGTTCCCTGCCTCCCCCCTTCTTCCCTCACTACTGCAGGGGGCAGCCCCCTGGGAAGGGAAAGGATGGGCGCGAGATAAACCCTTGTGTCAAGGGCTGACTTTTAATAGATTGTAGTGAGGGAGCTGCTCTGCTATGTACGAAACCCTAACCCAGAAGCAGGTTGTCTGTGAATGGTTTAGCACCAAGGGCCGATGGGGGCCATCCGGCCAGGGGGAGGGACCATGGGCGGTTGGCTAGTCACAGGAGGTTGGCTGTGGGAGGGCACTGACCTCCAGAGAGCAGCTTCTGCGTTCAGCGTCTGCCCCCTGGTAGTCAGTGGGCATCATAGTGAGTAGACTGGTTGTTCAGTCTAAGGGTCATGTAGGCATATATATATAATGTTATAATGTGCTGTTTGTTCATCTTGTTAGACAATAACTACAGGGGAGAAATCTAGTTTAATTAACTGACCTAAAAAAATAATTGAATTCTAGCCTGGCCAGTATGGTTCTGTGGTTGAGTTTTGATCTATGAACCAGGAGGTCATGGTTCAATTCCTAGTCAGGGCACATGCCTGGGTTGTAGGCTCAATCCTCAGTAGGGTGCATGCAGGAGGCAGCCAATGATTCTCTCATCATTGATATTTCTATCTCTCCTTCTAACTTTCTGCTCTGAAGTCAACAAAAACGTATTTTTAAAGAATTGCATGCTAGAAACCCATTACAAGTCATTAATATCTGTTAGTAGTTTACTCATCTTTTAACTGTAATAGGTGTGCCAATTGCCCTCCAGCTTCAATATGATATGAATCTATGCCATACTACCTAATAAAAGGGTAGTATGCAAATTAACCATCACTCCATCACAAAGATGGTGGCACCTATAGCCACAAGATAACGGCACCCCGTCCTCTCAGCCTTGGCAAAGTCCCCCAGTCCTGCGGGGAGCTGGGGAGGCCACTGAAAGCGGGCAGCAGGAGTGGCCTGGTGGAATGCTTGCTTCGTTGTGTCTGAGATGAGGCGTGTTCCATGCCCAGCCATGGATGGGCCCCTGGGCTGCAGAGAGCTTCTGGGCAGCTGGTGTGGAGCAGCCAGACCCCGCAGAAAGCTACTGGCACATGGATTTGTGCACAGGGCTACTAAGTTATTTAATAAATAAGAAATAAATGTATTGATGCTGTAGTGAAAGTATGAAATCTAAACAATGTTGGAAAATCCTAGTGTTACTTATAGGGTAAAAAACCCATTATGAAGAAAAAAAAGCTTTGATAAGCCTTGAAAGGTTAGTAGAACTTACTGAGATTTCTCTGTATGGGTTTTACTCAACATGATGCCATCTGCCACTTAGTCACTTTGAGATCCAGAAATCAGTGATTGCGTTGGTCATTGCTGTCAGGAGAGGCTAGATTTGACTATTACAGAAGGGGCAAATTCACAGAGGTACCTTGGGGTTTCCATGTCCCATGTTTACAGTAAACAGGCAATCCAAACAACCACAGCCTGGAAAAGGACAAAGAACTTTGAGCCCTCGGCAAAGACGAAGTGGATTATCACGGCAGGCGAGCAGCTGTATACAGCTGGAGCTCTGGCCAAAATTGAGGGAACTCTGGAAAGGCCAGGAGAGGAAAGATGCGACGTAATTATGGCCTTGTGACAAGCAGTGGCAACGGGACTCACTGGTTCCACTAACCGTCCTGTGATCTGTTTTCTAGAGATTATAGCTGGCTTCCCTCAATTCAAAAAGTCCAGAGTAGACTTAATGTGGGCATGAGTGGGTGGATAAAGCAGATTCTTTTGGTGCTCTGTGTCGTATCTCCTCTGCACCTCTGACTTCGATTACAGCTGTGTTCAAGCAACAGAAATCCCTTCACTTTTCTGCTTAAGGCCTTCTCCAAAACTGAAAGAACCTGCTTGGCTGAGGGCAAGCATAGCCTGAAAATGCAGCTGTTAATACCTCAGGGAAACCCCTCAACTGTGAGGGGTTGGGGACAACAGACAAATGCCCAGCTTTATGTTCTCCAGAGAGGGGGTTGTGGGAGGCATTTCATGGTGTTGTCATAGGTGGAATTGAGCTCTTATCGCCTATAGGGCAACTTCAACCACACACCTGTGTTCTGGCATTTCCTCCTTCCCTGGCTGTTTCCTATTCCAGGTTCCTGGTATCACCTCGCAAGCAAACTACCTGAACTCAGGTTCTTGGTTTTTCTTGTAAAGGAACACCAACGGAAACACATTTCCATTAGACCAGAAATAAGACCAGCATATCTACTATCACTGCTATTGTCCCACATGACACTGTCCTTATTTATAAATGAGCTGGCCTTCTACATAGAAAACCCCAACAGTCAATACAGAATCTATTAGAGCTTGCAAAGGGTGTGATATGGAAAATAAATTGATAAAAATTAGTAATTTTCTGCTAGATCAACAATAACCAACTAGAAAATAGAGTGGAAAAAAAGATTCTGTGCATAGCAGCAATAAAGCCATATTAAAGAATATATAAGATCTTAATGAAATTTTAAGAAACACTTAAAAGGATAGGAAGTTCTGAATAAATAGAGTCATGTTTGTGATATTGTAAAATGTCAGTTCTCCCCAAACTAATCAATAAATTCAATGCAATTTCTATTAAATTTCAGGGGGACTTTTTTTCTCCACCCTCCCGCACTCCCAGGAACCCCAAATTTATTCTAACAGATCCATATGGGATAACAAAGGTTCCCCAAAATAGCTTAGTCAATTTTGAAAAAAGAAAAAATTTTTAAAAGGCCTATGAGGAGACCACATATGAAAAACAACACATACAATGACAATACAAATTGTTATGCAGGAACATTCAGAAATGGGTATAACAGACTAAAGACTTAAAAAATAGACACATACAAGTATTGATAAAACTGGTTAATTATAAGGAGAAAAATACTGGTGAACCTTATTCAAAGTTACTTGTAAAATATATTAGATGTGAAAGGTTAGACTGTAAATTTAATAAATAAAAGTTCGTGATCTTGTAAAGGTCTCCGTAAGACTCCCAAACTCAATAAAACTAAATGAATAAATTGATTTTACTATATTAAAAAACTAGGAAACACTGACAAAGTTATCAGTTGGATGAGAGATATTAATGAAATGCAAAACTGGTAAGGGATTAATACTTAAACCATAGGAGGAAATTTTGCCAATCAACAAAAGACCTTGACCCAGTGGAAAAATAGGCAATGAATGAAAACATACTTGTTTCCCATTAGATCACAGTGTAAGGTTTTAAAGTGTTATTAGAAAATTTACAAAAAGAGAAACAAAAATGTTGAATAACTATAAGGGGATGTTTAAACTCATTAATGAGGAATCAGATAAAGGCAAAACAACATGAGACCTCACTTTAAAACCATTCCATTTACAAAGACTAGGAAGCTAGGCGGCACCAGTGCTGGTGAGGATGTGGACAAAAGTGGTACTCGTGCATGTAGTGGAATGTAGACTGGTGCCATCTTTCTGAAGAGCCATGTGTTCTGGGTAAAATTAAATATTTGTATACCTGGGACCCAGGACTCCAACTCCTGTTACATACCCACTGAGAAGTCATGAAAAGTCAATAAGAGAATTAGGTACAGAGATTTCGAAGTAGAAATAGTAGAGCCAACCCTTCATTATAGGAATGCAAAACTAAAATGTGGTGGCTGCACACTAGGAAATACTACACAGCCATCATAATAACCCATTAGAGGTGTATGCTAAAGAAGAAATAGTTGTTGATCATGTTGTTAGACATGAAAAGAGAAGATACCTTTGTCAAAGTCTAAGCCTTTATTATTAACCTCGTGGCAAAAGGCAGACTACCCAACTGCTTCGACTTAGGAAACAGACAACTCTTACATCTGCTTTTATATCAAGTCTTTATTAGGAAGTAAAGTGCTCAGTAATACACATTAATGCAATTCTCAATTGTTAAGAGACACCTGCGTAAGTAACATCTTTTTAATAATATTAATATAAAGGGAAGATAGGAGAGGGATGAGGAGGGAATTCTCCATGACTAAATAAGAAAAGAAAAAAATGTAACTGAGGGGTAATAGGAGAGAATTTTGCAGAAGAAATGAAAAACAATATAACAGTAACTATCATAAAAGACTCTCTAGTGACCATAATTCATATATGGCACGTGGTCAATACACATGGATACCACATAATGGCTGCACTTCAAATTGAAGTTTGTTTACATGTAACAACATGGTACACATACATAAATACATACACTCGCTCTCCCTGGAACGCAAACTTTAGTACCGAGTAATCAAGGGCTTGGTGTAGTTAGAACACGGAAATACAGGCGAAGATGAAGCCATGGGAAATAACTGTTCCAGAAACCCAGTGTGTATCACCTCTATGGCAGCCAGCTTAGAAAGGTTTGCTGCTGTTTTCTTTGAAGATTGGACTGACACATTCTACCAATTAATTGGACTGACACAGCATGGGGATTAAAATACTGAATTAAAAAACAGGCCTCTCTTCTATTCTCCTAGGAAGTTTTTCACCAGTACTGTATTCTCTCTTGCTTGTCCCATTAGCTCTCAAAAGGTCATCTTACTCAAGACTTTTCAAAAATAAGATTTTTATTTTTTATTGAGAACTAGATTTCTTCCCCATTAATTTGGTAAGATGCTCTCCCAATGAAAAAACAAGCCCTCTCTGGTTTGGCTCAGTGAATAGAGCACCAGCCTCCAGACTGAAGGTTCCCGGGTTTGATTCTAGTCACGAGCACGTGCCTAGGGTTACAGATGGGATCCCCAGCAGGGGGGTGCAGGAAGCAGCCGATCAATGATTCTCTTTCATCATTGATGTTTCTATTTCTCTCTCCCTCTTCTTTCCTCTCTAAAATCAATACAAATATATTAAAAACAAAAACAAACAAACAAACAAAAACCCAAACTACTGTAAAATCAAACTTTGGCTGATACTTTCTGTTAATGGGCGAACTTTCAATACGAAAAACTCCATTTCATAAAATTGAGCTCCATGTAGAGTACACATCCTAGGTTGGAAATACAGGTCAAGAGCATTTGAGTTCTGTATTCTTAAAATAGTACACAATGTACACTTTAGTTTTATAATATATTTATATGAATTTCATCACTCCCTTAAAATTTTGTTTAAAATGAACATATTTACTACAAATTTCAGTACTAACTAAACAATTTCATAAGCGGTTCTTCCTAGATTAGTTGCAACATTACTTTCAGTGGCAAATAAGTTGAGCCATATGGAAAAGAGAATATATAGTAAGTCTTTATATTAAATTAATTATTAGAAACAGTTGAACATAGTGAAGGCTCCTTCTAATTCTCCTTTGTTAAGTCTGAGAAGACATTTTAACCCATAGTTGATCTTTGGGGTTTCATGCAGCTCATTTCAAATGGGAGAAAAATAGTGTAAAAACTAAGTAAAACAGTTATTCCCAAAGACATTAGATATGATAAAAGAACAAAAAGCACAGAATTCCATATTTATCTGAACCATTCATACATATTGTAGCATAATGACTACATATCCATTCTATGTTTTGGAGTTCTTTTCCAGCCTGTCCTTTAGAAAAATTTACCCCAGGAAGGTAGTTGAAATAAAAGGCTCCTTTATTAAAAAAAAAAAAAAAATCTATATATTATATTAAGCCCATGAGCCAAGTTTGAGTGGGAAGGAATGCCCCTAGTTTCCCTTCACACACTGGGCTAAAACGACAATACTGACTTGTGATTAGTTTAAAAGGCAACTTCATTGTCATTTGAGAAGACTCAGTTGTGGTACCAAGTGAGTATACCACTTCTTAAACTTTACAGAGACTTTTTTTTTAATGTACTCAATATTTACACCTAATTACTTAAATGAGTAAAAAAAAAAAAAAAAAAATCTTCTTTGGTCCATGGGCAAAGTTGATTTAAAATAAATTAAAGTGCAGAAGAATTAACAATTGATCACAATGACAAATATCACGTGCTGGTCAGGGCATATAAATACAGCAGGTCCTGGAATAAAGTCGTTTTATTATTAATGTTTACGCTGTGGGAACATAACTCTTGCTTATGTCAATTAGCCTGTGGTAAAATTGGTTTCATTGTATTTTGTTTCACCACAGTTCCAAGAACCGACCCATGACGTTAAGTGAGGACTTACTGCAGTAACCTTGCAATGTCCATTCAGGAAGCCACCTGCTCACCTGTTGGAAACACATTTGCTAACACACACCCTACACGTGCATATTGGAACTCCCGTTTCCACCCGAGCCTTCCATTCCTTCTGTAGACTGAGAGGAAGAAGGGCGGGAGCTTCTGGGGTGAGGCTGACCATTTAGTCCCACGGGAGTGCCTAAGCCGTGACTTATTTGGGAAGCTGCATCATCGGATTCCCAGCGTTCCAACTCTTCACGCACTAGCCGTTCCATCTGTTCCCTGTGGATTTCACTCTCACGACCCAGTCTTTCATCCTAATAAGGAAAAAAGAAACCGGGAAGTTAGGGATGCATATTCTCTCTCTCTTTTTTCTAATCCTTACCCGAGGATATGTTTTTTAATTGCTTTGTAAGAGAGAGAGAGGGAGAGAGAGAGAGAGAGAGAAAGAGAGAGAGAGAAACAGAGAGAGAGAGAGAGAAACAGAGAGAGAGAGAGAGAAACAGAGAGAGAAACACTGATTGGTTGTCTCCCAACCAGGTATCAGACCTGCAACCTTTTGGTGCATTGGATGATGCTTCAGCCAATGAGCCACACCAGCCAGGCACTGATGGGTATTCTTGTACATAGATATTGTCTTAGGAAATTTGGTGATCAAGTAATCTGTTTGTAATTAGGTATGTCTGGAGATTTAAAACATATAACAATTCTTAGTTACTACAGTAACTTCTTTGCTTAATTTTTTTTTTTTTTTTTTTTAATGCTCATCCTTTCAATCTTCCTTCTGCTTTTCTGTAACTTTCAAAGCTTTTGTAATAAGCAAATTTATACTGGGAGGGAAATCACCAAATTAGTTTTTTGTTTTGTTTTTTATTATTTATCATCGGTAGTATTACATATATCTCCCATTTCCCCCCCATAACCCCCCTCCTATCTCCTATCCACCCCCTCAGGTCTTCACTACCCTATTGCCCATGTCCATGGGCTATGCATATAAATTCTTTCATTTGGTGTGGCTCAATGGTTGAGCATCAACCTATGAACCAGGAGGTCATGGTTCAATTCCCAGTCAGGGCACATGCCTCGGTTGTGGGCTTGAATCCCAGGGGGGTGAGGACAGGAGGCAGCCGATTGTTGTTTCCCTCTCATCAATTGATGTTTCTTTCTCTCTCTCCTTCTCCCTTCATCTCTGAAATTAAAGACAAAAGTGTATTTAAAGCGCAGACAGCTTGTCTCAGTGGTTGAAAGTCGACCTATGAATCAGGATGTCAAAGTTCGATTCCCTGTCAGGGCACACGCCTGGCTTGTGGGCTTAATCCCGTGTGAGGTGTGCAATGAAGCAGCTGATCAGTGATTCTCTTTTGCTTAATTTTACCATCCACTGATGTGATGGCAGGACCATCAGTGTGTGAAGTATTAAGAAAGTAACACCTCTAGATTATCGTTTGATATGCATTGATCTGCAGTATGGAGATCACGAAACCTCCCTGATTAAAAGGGGTACATATTATAATTACCCTAATGTTGTAGACATCAGACTTACCTCGGCCACTCCGTCCAGCAGTCTTCCCAGCACTTCCCTTCTCTTCAGTTTGGCGCGCTCCATGATCTCCAGCTTCACTATCACAGCATCGATCTTGGACACGATGCTGCCGATGGAGTGCTCCATGCGGTCCACTCGTCTCACCAGGCTGCAGAAAACCACACAAAGTCACCTGGTGCTGCTATCTTTCCGGCTCAGTTTGCTTTTCAAATGGAAGTGTTAAGATTTCTTTTTCTTCAGCAATATGATAATTTGAAACTTTTGCCAAGTAGTCTCAACCTTTAGAGATGAACTCTCATACATTGCTGGTGGGAGTGCTAACTGGCACAACTTTTCAATAAGGTGGCATTGTATTAGAAGTCCTAAAAATGTATGCCTACCTTCTATTCAGATATTCCACTTTTGAAAACTTTCTAAAGAAAATAATTAAGCAGCCTGGCCAGTGTGACTCAGTGGTTGAGTGTTGTCGACCCATGAACCAGGTCGTGGTTCAATCCCTAGTCAGGGTACATACCCGCATTATGGGCTGGATCCCTAGTAGGAGTGTGCAGGAGGCAGCTAATTGATTATTCTCTCTTATTGATATTTCTATCTCTCTCCCTCTCCCTTTCTCTTTGAAATCAATAAAAAACATACTTAAAATATATATAATTTATCATATGTATAATTTTTGGCTACCAGGATATTCAGTATAGTTCTGCTTATTAATAGTGGGTCATTGAAAAATTTGGGAACCCTCGAAGGCTCTTTTCCCACATTACATTATTACATTAGACAGTAGATTACTTAAGCCCTAGCCGGTTTGGTTCAATGGAGAGTCAGCCTCTGGACTGAAAGGTCCTGGGTTTGATTCTGGTCAAGGACATGTACCTCAGTTGCAGGCTGCCCCTAGTTCATGCCTGTTCCAGGCACGTGCAAGAGGCAACCAATTGATGTGCTTCTCTCACATCAATATTTCTCTCTGTCTTTCCCTCTCTCTTCCACTCTAAAAAAATCAATGGAAAAATATCCTCAGTGAGGGTTAAAAATAAATAATTCATCTATATAGTAGACTCTAAGGAGACATCAGAAATTATATTCTGAATAAATACTTAATGAAATGGAATGATGTTCACAATATATTAAGTAAACAAAGCAGTTAGAAAATAGTATATTCACTTATGCCCCCATTGTTTTTGAATAAATAAAATGCTATGAATCCTTAAAAAAATAAGTAGGAAACAACTGGAATGGTGGCATGAGGGCTCTGTAGGCCCTCTCTTCAGTGAAATAACCATAACTATTGAATACTATTTAAAATGTTTTTAATTTCTGAAAATTTCTTAAGAACACAGAGCAAATAAAGAAGCATTCAAGGCAATCCATGAGATGTCAGTAAGGAGAGTGAGAGTCTGTGACACCTGAGGCACACGCTGCTCCATCTCACCTGCCCCCAGCTCCGTGGGACAGAAGCACCATTCTTGGTGGGAGGGTCAGAGGACACAGGGCTCTCTCCCCTGAGATCCCAGTGGAGAGCTACAGTATCTCCAGGGAAGAGGCAGGTTGTCAGCATTTCTCATCCCATGTTTCCACTCAAAATCCATGTTTTAGAAGCTCTGATCCAGGCCAAGAGCAGCTAACTATCATATAAGGCTCTTTTCCCACATCTAATAATGGAGACTGGTCACTTCATGAGATCAACAAAGGAAACTATTCACCAGCTAGTTTACCAGAGAGAACCAGGGAAGGAGACAGCTAAAGACTGGCCTCAAAATTTACCTCTCAAAGGGGCCTGAATTTAATAAGACTGTAGAGCAATTTACATCCCGAGGCATCATTGAAAACAATAGACCAATCAGCCAACAATCAGTGGAACCTAAGAGATGGAAGTGATATCAGCAGAGGCAGAGGCTTGACAGAGAATCAGGGAAAGACCAGGAGAGCCCTGCTCGAACCAGACTTCCCAGGATGCCAGGGCGCCCCGCCGGGCTGTGGCCTCTGAGAAGCAGCGTCAGAGGCTTCACACGTAAAGACAGGCTATGCTGCTGGCCTGATCTCCCACTAAACAGCAACAGAAACACATCCTGGAGGAAGGAGAATTAGGACCCAGAGTTTCTGTAATGTTATTTAATATCTTTAGTTTTCAAAAAAAAAAAAAATTATGAGACAAAGAAACATAAAAATGTGACCATATATAGGGGGGTAGGGTGGGGGGGAGGCAACAGAAAAGGCTTTGATAGACTTAGTAGACAGAGTTCAAAGTAGCTATCATAAATATATTCAAAAACTAAAGGAAATCGTGCTTAAAGAAATAAAAGACCATAGGATGTCATTGTCTTATCAAATAGAGAATATCAATAAAGCGATGGAGATTATTGAAAAGAGCCAAACAGAAATTCTGGAGTTGAAAAGTACAACCCATTAAATGAAACAATTCATTAGAGAGTCTCAACAGTAGATTTCAAACTGCAGAAGAAAGAACCATGAACTTTAAGGTGGGTAGAAAAGATGCAATCTGAAGAACAGAGAGAAAAAAGAATGAAGAAAAATGAACAGAGCCTAAGAAAAATGTGGAATACCATTAAGCACCTCAACACACACAATACATGGAAAGGAGAGAGGAAAGGAGCAGTAAAATGTCTGAACACCTTACTAAATTTTATGGAAATCTTACACATTTAAGAAGCTTAATAAACATCAGGTAGGATAGCTGCAAAGGGATACATACGCAAGTATATCATAGTAAAAATACTGAAAAATAAAGACAAAGGAAAAATCTTGAAAGCAGCAAGAGAAAAATATTTGTCACATACAGGGGGACCTCAGTAAGGTTAACAGCTATCTTTTCATCTGAAACAATAGAGGCCAGAAATAAATAAAAGTAAAATAAAAAATATTCCTTGATCAATGAATACTGAGAGAATCCATGCAAGCAGGCCTGCTTTAGAAGAGATACTAAAGGAGTTCTGTAACCTGAAAGCAAGTGATCCCAGACAGTACTGTAATTATAATTTTCATGAAAAAACAAAGACCACTGGTAAAGGTAATTATGTAACTAATAGAGTCCCAGTGCATGAAATTCGTGCACAAGGGGAGGGGACTCCTCAGCCTGGCCTGCACCCTCTCCAATCCGGGACTCCTCAGAGGATGTCCAATTGCTGGAAGTTGGGCAGCCCTCTTGCAATCCCGGACTGCTGACTCTTAACTTCTTGCCCGCCTACCTGCCTGATCACCCCTAACTGCCCTCCCTGGCTGGCCTGATCTCCCCCTAACTGCCTTCCCCTACTGGCCTGATCTTCCCTAACCACCTCTGCCTTTGCCCCCACCACCATGGCTTTGTCCAGAAGGATGTCTGGAAGATGTCGGGTCTAATTAGCATATTACCCTCTTATTAGTATAGATACAGGGCAGTATAAATTCATAGTTTCCTCCTTTTTCTCTTAACTGATTTAAAAAAGCAACAGTACAAGACAGATGTACATAACATAAATGCCCTAGTGCATTTGATAATAATGGGACAAAGGAGGTGGGTCAGAGCCACGTTGTATGGCAATGCCTTTATACTTACACTTGAAACTCTTCGTAAGAAACCCCACTGGAGATGCTTCCTCTCCTTCTAGAGCTGTGCCCACTGTCTTCATCGTCCTCCTCCTCGGAGTCGTCCAGGCTTCGTGGGAAACTCCTGCTGCTCATGGGACGTGGCAAAGAGCTGTGATCCAAGTCCAGGTCCTCCTAAAGAAATGGGGCCAGTGAGCTTCACCCAAGACTTGGACCAATGAGAAATGGGCATGTGCCATTTACCTCTGGTTTCTCTGTGGCTCACACCAGACTGAAATTCCCACACTCTGTAATTTCATGCATTGGCAAGTTTTCAAAACAGATTTTAATTACCAGTGAGGAGTTAAGTTGTTTTTTGGACAAGAAAGAACATAGAAAAAGTGAATGAAGAAATATACCCCTTTTCATGAAAGATAACCCATTTAATAGATACAACGTAGGAAAGATATAATCTCAGAATAAAGATTTGGCTAAATACAGTCTATAAAAACTGTACTCTTTGTCTTCTTGTTCACATTTCACTATGATTGGTAGTTTTTCACCTCATGGTACTCTTCTGTGGAGCAGCATTGAGAAATCACTCTTCTATACTATCTTCTCATAGGAAAATGACTTTTATGTTTAACATGCACCTTCATTCTTTGTACCTCAATTACCATCTATTGTTTAACCATTTATTTTTAAAGTTCACATTAAATTTTAACCTATTTTTTATTATAAAAGGCCATGTCGATTTACTTTTAATAGTTTAATAAATATTCAACTAGAAGGCAGCTCTTTTATTTTAAATGTTAATTTGAAGAGTAACTAATTTTATATCTCCTAAGAAATATTCCTCCCATCCCTTCTCTCATGAACATTGTGAAATAGGAAACTAGTCGTTTTTCTCTTTTCAAGTTCATTATTAGAAAATTTAGGGCCAAATCTGTAGCCCAACTGTAATAAGCATATGTGTTATTATGGAATGCTTTTTTAGCTTCATTTATAGTCTAGTTTTATATTTTACTTTTGTTTTGCCTCATTCTTCTTCTTTTTTTTTTTTTTACATATATGCTAACTTATTACATTTTAATATATTATCGTGTTATATATTCTTGTTGGAATAAGAATATATTCCAACAATATGGTACTAATACATAAAGTGGAGAGAGAGAGAGAGAGATTGATTCAGTAACCCACTACTTCATATGGTGTCTGAAATATCATGGGTGCTCAATCAAAGCATGTTCTCCTAAACTTAACCCACCCTCTCCTTTTCCAAGTCATCTCTCATCTGCTGGTGTTCATGCTCAGTCAGCTCCTGGTCTCCATCTTGGTCGTACTTTGTGAAGATTGCCTCAATCTCTGCATCAGTATGGCCCTTCCTGAAATGATCAAGAGGTTACAGATGAACTCATTCACCTACATGGTCCATTCACCCCAACACAGAGAAAACAAAATACAGGGAAGAAAGGAGAAATTGCTGGATTGGGGACAGTCCTCCTTTTATAATATGCTCCAGGAAGACACCCACCGCTGGGAAAAAGTGTCTCTATGAGTTCTTAGGCCAGGGATACCCTTTTCCTCAAGAATGTATCTTTACATGAGGAACTCTCCAGGCCCTCAGAAAGTCTGATTCTCACCCTTTGAGATCCTGTCGAAGTTCATCAAAGTTTAACTTGCCTCCCCCTTGCCGCAGACTCTCTGAAATGTCATCCACAGTATTTCTTCTTAGTCTTAGTTTGACCAAGGCTTTATGGTAGCCCTGTTGAAAAAAAAAAACAAAAAACATTTAGCTGAGTGCATTCTCCTTTTGCATTTGCTTCACATTCAATTTACTGAAACCCGGCACAGCGCTGGATGTAAGTTGGCCACTCAACAAGTATGTGTTGAATAAATGAATAAGGGATGTATCTTGAGTTTTCTATAAAACTCTTTTGGAAGAATCATAAGGAAAAAGATAGGGTCTTTCAGTAAATCAAAAGAACTAAGCATCTTTTGCTTATATGAGAATGAAAGTTTAGGTTATAGAAATGAAACTCAGCACGTTTCTTAGCTTTCTGCCTCAGAATACTAGGTATGTGCAACAGTTCTTAAGACTACTGAGGGCCCAGCTGGCATGGCTCAGTGGTTGAGTATGAACCAGGAGGTCACAGTTTGATTCCCAGTCAGGGCACATGGCCAGGTTGAAGGCTCATTCCCCATGTGGGGTGTGTGGAAGGCAGCTGATTGATGGTGATTCTCATCATTGATGTCTCTTTCTCTCACTCTCTCCTCCTCTCTGAAATCAATAATAATAATAATAATAATAAAATACTGAGGAACCTGAGTTATAAGTTGTTTATTTTCTGTTATCTCATAGTAATTTCTTATATATGTGTGTGTGTGTGTGTGTGTGTGTGTGTATGTGTGTGTGTATTTTTTATTTCAGTAAAATGTGGAAGTGGATTTTTCATTAATAAACTACAGGCAGACTTTGCTTTGCACTATAGTGCAGGACTGTGAAATGACCATGCAAGTTCAAACTATACAAAGTAAGGTTAATAATCAACAGGAAAAATTATGATTGCTCCATGACCTTTAAGTCTTTTTGTCAAACATTAAAAGCTCCTTTAGTGTTGGCTATAAAGTCACAGAAGCATTTAAAAATAAAATAAAATGAATGTTTATTTACTACATTCAAATGTAAAATATTAGAAACATTTCAAAATCAAAGTGTTTTATTTCTTTGTAAAAAATGTATTCTAAAACTTTCTGAATCACAATGTCATATAGCCCTCTCTTATCCAGTGGACCTCAATGTAGCGATTTCAATGATCCCTCCCAAAGGGGCCCCCTTTCTGAGTGGAAGATTCGACTCAGCGTGTGGCAGCTCCATAGACTGTGATGGTGAATATTCCCACAAATCAAATATGATGAGTGGACACTCCCCAAAATTGCTTTTACTGAATATTTGGGTAGCCAGGCCAGTGAGGACCAAGATAAAAGCTGATCACTTCAAAGTCAGAGGTGCTCTGAATAAAACAAATTAAAATTTTACTCGGTCCAAAGGGCAGGAAAAGAAGCTAACCACCCTGAACATCTCAGAATTGGGTATCTTTTATTGCATATATGAGAAGAACAGTGTGATTTACACTGCAACTTATTTCCATAATGGCACTCTGGGACACAAAAGAATTAATTAAGTTCCAGATTCTTAGAGGCATCTCAACTGTTCACTTTGAACAGTTCATATTAAGTTACTGAATGCAGAATGCGCTAGAACTGTCTCTTCCTATCCAAATAAAACAAGCTCCTCTTACCATATGCAGTCTTTTGAATGGCTAAAGGGCATATGCTATGACTCAGCACAACAGCTATGTGATCTTGGACCTGTGTTACATCCTCCCTAGGGTGTGGGTATCAGCAATCAATTGACATAGCTGTCATCAGATATAAATAACAACATATTATATGTAAAGTAATTAGCATTGTATTGTGGGGGTTCAGAACAAGTCACCCCAAAATATACCTCTGTGGTACACAGATTGTTTTGAACTAAAGGCAACTTTAGCCACAGATGCAAGAGAAACTTCTGACCTTCCCTTAACTATCCAGAAGAACTTGAATTGGGAGCCTTGCCCTTAATAAGCAATTATCTGAGATAAACACCTTTGGCCTGTCTACAGGACAGCATCGACTTCTATTTACTAAGCATTTGCTCTTATCATCCTGCAATGACAGCTGACGCCTCCAAGGCACCTTACATCATTTGTAGCTCAGAAATGTCTTGTACACCCAAGCTTCTATCTCCATGCTCCATGTTTCTGTCTCTGAACCTCTTGTGCATGTGAAGTTTCTGATTCTCATTTATATGAGATTCCCATAAATATAATATATAAATAAATATATATTAATTGTTTAAAATATTCTTCTTCTTATATATATATATATTCATATATTTATTGATTTTTAAGAGGAAGGAAGAGGAAGAGAGAGAAATATCAATGACAAGAATCATTGATCGGCTGCTTCCTGCACGCCTCCTACTGGGGATCGAGCCTGCAACCTGGGCACGTGCCATTGAAAGGAATCAAACCTGGGACCCTTCGGTCCACAGGCCAATGCTCTATCCACTGAGCCAAATAAGTGAGGGCTACTCATGTATATTTTAGATTTGGTTATTTTCTCTTGCTATCTGTTTCAGGCAGAAGAGCTGAGGGTGGAGGAGAGTTCCTTCCTCTCCCACAGCTGGCGCTGTGAGCAGGATGGACTCAGGGCTGGGACCCCGCACTCCCCGCGAGGCTGCTGCAGACGAGGAGTTCCTGGAGAGTCTCACAGGTAAGGGTTATGCCAGGTAAGGGTTATGCCCGGTAAGGGTTATCTCAGGTAAGGGTTCTTACCATACTGGTACACTCCCAGATCTCCTTCTGTAGGATCTGGTTGAAGCAAGAACGGTGAGAAACTTTTTCTCTCTTTTAAATTCATATTGGCAGAAGAAAATATCTGTTAAACTAGTTTCTTAGAGAAGCGATTCTTGGTTATTTGGTGGGTATCCAAGGTTTTGTTTTTCTCTTTCTCTGTCTGATTTCTCTCAATTTGTCTTGTTATTTGTCCTAAGAATGTGGCCTTATGACAAGTGAAAGAACTTTCTCTCCGGCTCTACCACCCAGAGGGTGCGCTTGCCAAAGTGCACCTTGCTCTCTATTCAGCCAAGACCAGCTCTCCAGGGAGTTTGCTGTATCTTTTTGCTGACTCAGGCTATAATTACATCAAAAGAATATGAAAATGTAAGAATTGATAAGATTATTGAAACTGGAATTTTAAAATAAGCTTTATGTTTAAAAAAAGTTAGGTAAACTCTAATTGATTGCATCTCCTTTATCTGAGTGCAGGATGGAAGCAGACACTGTCTCACCGGGGAGCTGGGACATGAAGCTGTCTGTTCTTTCGTGTGACTATCAGAGAAAAAGACTCCATAAGTTAGTAACCTTTGTGCCCTCTTGGGTCCACAGAATTGTTTAGTACTGCCAGATATATTTACTCTTTGTCCCAACTGAACCCTAACAAGATATCTGAAAGGACTTGAATTTTTTATCAGAAGTTTAGTCAAATTAGCTTGACTGGAATGGCTCAGTGGTTGAGCGTTGACATAAGAACCAAGAGGTCATGGTTTGATTCCTGGTCAGGGCACATGCCTGTAGGCTCAACCCCCAATGGGGGTGTGCAGGAGGCAGCCAATCAATGATTCTCTCTCATTATTGATGTTTCTATCTATCTCTTTCTCCCTTACTCTCTAAAATTAGTAAAAATATATTTTTAAAAAAAAGAAATTTAGTCAAATTAGAAACTAATGTCAGAACCTAATAAGAATTTTTAAGAAATTATTCTGAGCCCTTTCCTAAGGTAAAATAAAACTATGCACACAGAGGGAAAGAAGCAAATTAGGAATCATGTAATTAGGTAGGCCAACTTAAGTTATAGACAAATTTTTGAGAGCAATTGTTCTTATCTTACAAATTTTTGTGAAGCCAGAAATGCAGCTCTAGAAGAAGTTCAAAGCCCAGTTATCTTTATAGTCCACATTTCCTGAGGCTGAAGAGAAAAAAGGAAGACTAGATGCTTTTGAAAGCACAAACTGCTTCTCTGGCTCCAAGGCTTCCTTGCAAAAGACATATGAATCTTAAGTGCTTTCTCCACAAAAATTAGTAAGAAAAAGCTTTAGCTTTCTAGAAGGGTAACCTTAATTTACTAGTATTCTGCCAGAAAAAGAGTTGGACCCATCTGTTCCTTTACATGATCTTATCTGTTTTTCTCTTTCTCTGTCTGATTTCTCTCAATTTGTCTTGTTATTTGTCCTAAGAATGTGGCCTTTGTAGTTTTACAATGAAGACTAGAAGGTTCTTCTCCATGCCTGTTTGTATGTTCATGTATGTGTGTGGCCTTTTCTCCCTCTGGATGATATTGTTAGTGTGGTTAGTGTGTGTGTGTGTAATATTTGATTAAATTTCTTTTAAAAAAAATATATTTTGTACAGAGAGGAAGGGAGAGAGATAGAGCTAGAAACATTGATGAAAGAGTCATTGATCAGCTGCCTCTTGCACACCCCCCACTGAGGATATGCCCGCAACCAAGGTACATGCCCTTGACCAGAATCGAACCCGGGACCCTTCAGTCCGCAGGCCAACGCTCTATCCACTGAGCCAAACCGGTTTCGGCATATTTGACTAAATTTCTGATCAAATATTTATTAAAAAAAAAAAAAAAAAAAAAAAAAATATATATATATATATATATATATATATAATTTTAAATTGGCGTAAACAAGCATTTATATGAGAATTCTCAAAAAAAATCTCAAAAAAAATCAGTAGTTCTCTCTCATCAATGTTTCTATCTCTCTATCCCTCTACTTTCCTCTACCACTAAAAATCAATAAAACATATTTAGAAAAAGAAACATTAATTAGTGAACATGCCTTTACCAAATTTTGCTTTTTATTATAGAGGAACTAAAGATAATTGGGTTTATTGTTTTGTGCCCCATTGAAATAATTTGTGCTGAGAGAGAGAGAGAAATTAATGTGCTAAAAAATATCAATCTAAAAAAAAAGATACTGGTATGGCAGTTTGCAATTGCTTCCTAGTTTTAACTAGAAATTAAAGTTTTTAAAAGTTAAGAATTCTAATATATGTGATTAAACAAAAAAATTAAAAATAGAGAAAACAAACTATACACAAGAAAAATTGACATGTACTGGCTTTGAAAAATAGTAGAAGATATGGA